AGTTATGTTCAGGGTGAGTCTTGAATGACCAAATCTATAAAGCAGCCAAATGATATGGGAATTGAGCAAGCGGATTTTATTTATTCTTTTAAGTCTGCATGAAGTTGGTAAACATTTCAGTTCAGCGCATGGGACCCCCTGTTCTTTTGTGTTAAAATAAATCAACAGTTACAGATTAATTAAAATAGAAGAGCTTCTCACACCTGAAACCTCTAACTTTGAGGAAGGTGAAATACAAAACTTTGTACTAAAGGGTGTTTGACAACATAAACCAAAATCATATTAAGCCAAATGGAACAGATTGTTTGCACAAAAATGTATGCACCAGATTTATGATAGCAAAAAGTGAAAACAGGATCCTCTTTCATCATTCAAATGGTAAGAATGAGCCTCTTTTAGGAACAAATACATGTGAAATATTTTACAGAGAACAAAAAAGCTTTGAGATGCATTAGAAAGAAACGTTAAATGATTACAGAAAGGCAGTAATCTGTATAGTATTTTTGGAGCCAGCTATTATCGCTTGCTTTCAAATCCTGGCAATATCAATATTCTCCAGTTTGATTGGTGACCAGTCTGAACTTATCCTACTTGCTTTTAGAAACAAAGACAAGAGAATGGCTACCTCCGTTCATCTATTATTGTTTAAATAGCTGTCACAGCTTCCAGGATGTCTGTTTCCATGTTATCTGGTGAAAGAATAAAATAGAGTGGCAACAAACCAAATACAGTGAAAAATGTTCATTGTATTTGGCCCAAACCAGCTGCTGTTTGCAGATAAAATCTGGTTTGAACAAAACCAGGTGAATTTTGGAAACTGAGGAACAATGGATGGAGTGGATGTAGCATTTACAAATATTTTAAAGATATGTGTTGCATTCAGACTTGCCCATTATGGTGATTTGGTTCATATGTCACGGCACATATTCATCTCTGCTCAGATAATGTCGAGGCTTGGGTAACAGCTTGTCCTATCCTTGTTTATTTGTTAATTTATAACATCTCGGTTCCCAGCGCAAGCCAAGGCAGGCCCAGGCACTTCTTTGTTCTGCCTTGTTCTTTCAGGGTTTTTCCCCCTTTCTTTACACTGTTATGCTCCCAAGTCCCACAATGGAGTTGTAGACTGACCCTCTTTCCCCTCTTGCCCTGGCTTGTCTTCCAATGCTTCCTTTGATGCGTTCAGACTGAAAATGCCAGATCTCTGTCTCCCAGCAAGGGCTCATCATTTTTGCAGCATTGCTCTGCTAGTAGGTTAAGAGAAACATCAGTAGTTGCTTTGCAACAGTTTAAAAGACATTAGGTTAATGATTTTTTGGAAACAAAGATGTATCATCGTATTGCGAAAAGAGGACTTCTGCAGGAACGGAAGATTTTAAAATGCCTTAATTGCAGGAGGTCGTATTATTTTGCTACTAAGATATGCGGTTATGTTTTAATTGGCTGTGTTTACAATGTGGTTTTTCTTAAAAATGCATTTTTTCAAGATTCCCTCAATCATTGCTTATCTCACATCCACAAATATCCATGCTTCCTGTGTATAATATGTACATTTGCTGTTTCAAACATACTCACACTCAAAGTTTATTTCACATGGGACATCAAGAAAACAAAGTCACATTAGTCTGACTTTTTTTTCTGAGTTGACGTTTCATTAAAATAAGTTCACAGTAAGTTCAGCTCTCTAGTCTTACCCTTCAGTGTAAATTTGTTTCTGTTATTTATTATAACATAAGAGTTTGGATGTTATTTTGAGTTCATACCATTCTGCATAACTTTAAGTTTTTTAAAGTTACTTTGCCTATTGCAAAACTGTGCTGCACATTGTTAGGAAAATCTTTGCAAACTTCACATGTTTTGAGCATGCACAACGTACAGCAAACTTCACATATATTTAATGTTAAAGTAGCTATAGAATGAAAAAATTAATCCCTTCCCTATGTCCCATGCCAAGACCTGTGTTAGGAGCTTTCTGTAGCTCAACAATTGCATGGAAGAGCATAGCTTTTAAGTGAATTAAGGACTATGGAATTTTTAAGTGGCTCAATTTAATCTAGTATGTTTTAAAAAATTTTGGCAATTTGAGACCTGAAATATTAGCTAGAGTCTAAGTTGTCTCAGAAAGTATGAGAGGTCATTGGTCCATTTCTCTGAAAAACATAGAGGCAAATGATGTCTTTTTTGACAAGTTTACTTTCTCATTTATATGACTCAACAACACCAGGCATACTAGTGATTAGGCTCTTTCTTGCCATACCATGCAAGTCCAATACCTTCACTAGAACCACTGATATAAAGGAGTCTTTAGCCAAAAGACTCAGTGATGTAACAAAGGAGAGGTTTTGCAATTATTTATTATTATTGTTGTTATTGTTTAATGGTTGGTAGGAATCATTTGGGAAAGCCATACCTGAAGTAGAGGGAAAAAAAAAGTTTTCAGCTATGCAATAATATTGTGTAGTGTTTATCAATCTATTGTCTAACCAGTTTTGTTTAAGTTTTGGGTTGTTTCTTTTGATTAATGAAAGCAAAACAATTCTGACAGCAGTTTGGAAAAAAACATTTGGTAGTGATTCTTCACGCAAGGGTAGGATTTGAGATGAACTAGAGGGATGATCTGAGAACAATAAGCCAGTTTGCAATACCCAGGAATACCTAATTTATTTTTTCTAATGAAGTGGTGAATATTTCTATAATATTTTAAAAGTTGGGAAGAAAAGAAACAATTCATATTTAGGGCCAAATTTTAGTATGTTACTACAAAAGGACTACTCAGATTACTTCACATTGCTGTGGGTTAGCCTGAGAACAGAGGATACATCCACAGAGTACATTTTTCAGAGCCTGCTTTGAATCTTGGTAAGGTAGATAGGAAATGGTTCGTTAATCTACAGCCAGTTTTTCTCAGCACTTTGTGACATGACTGCAAAACTTAAGTATAGCTGAAAAAAACTTTTATGGCTCTGAACAGGCTGAAGCTTTCCTTGGTCAACATCAATTCATTTCACAAAGCTTATCTTGGTAAGCTTTTGAATTATGACTTTATGACAGAGCAGTAATTGTAGCACAAATTGTGAAAAACAGGGGACATGTAACGGTATGTTACTCGTTGTGTAGGCTGCGCTCAACCTGAGCCACAGAGAAGGAGGAAGAATGGCTTCCATGGTAGGACGGATATCACCAAAAGTAGGACTCTCCATATGAGCTGGTCAGCTTAGGCTCATCTTACTGTCCACAGACACTTCTAGAGAAAGATTTGTCTCCTTCCGCAGTAGATGCTTGTAATTAGTACCTTAAACTGGTGTCTGCTTCTCTCCACTGGCTACAGAAAATGCTAAGTGGGACCAGCCCAGAAGCAGATGTCCAAATGCCTGTTCGTGTATTTCTGTGGAGGGACGTAGTGGGTGAGGCTTTTACTCTAGCACTGTAAATACTCACCAGCACAATAGAGCTGGTGAGGAGATGGGGCAAGAAATCTGCACCTGAACAGGCTTGATGGAGATGAATTCCTTCTGGAATAATGGTGGGTGGGGACTGTTGGAATGAACTGGGTCTTGGAATTATGGTTTTCTGGTCCTGATGTCATCAAAGCCTACACTCTAACCCTTTGTTGCAGCGTCTTTCAATTTCCTTGGTCCAAGACTATGTCCCCTTTGGAAAATACTGTACTCCAGTTGAAGAGAGAGCTAGGTCTATTTAGGCAACTAGGATCAGAACTTTAATAGAATACAATTACTTATGTACATGATAGGATAAATAGAGAAATAGAACTGTTATTGAAACTATAATCAAGTAAAGTGCAGAAAGAAAAAGAAATTAAAATACCCCAAAACCATATGTATCTTTTAATGATCAAAGCCCAAATGGAAAAGAACAAGTCTGACAAACTATTCTGTAGTCAAATAGCTGTGCAGAGATTTGCATAATACCAAGAGTACATTCTGATGTCCTTGTATTGTATTGAGATACATCAATATGTGTCAGTTAATGAGTGAGCCCTTGGTAAGAAGAATATGTATAGATAGATGTATCTATATATATGTATAGATAGTTTTCCTTTTGAAGAATTCAGATTAATATCTGGTGCAAAGAAATTGACCTAAATTTCTGTATCGTATCAACAGCAGTCTAAAAATATTTCAAAAAGTGAAAAAAAAAAGAGGGTATTGAAGTTTCTATTAATTGTGTGGGTTTTTTCTTTCTTTTTTTTTTTTTTACCCTGCACTGACTTTGTAATCCGTTCACAGATTATCTGTGAAACTTTAATCTTAGAAGTCTTCAAGCTGTGGGAGTTTTTTCCTGTTGTGATGTCAGAACTGATCAGATCTGATTGTTGCAAAGATCCCACTAAGGAGTTTAGCACTAATTGTTAGAAGATGTCCGTACTCAAAAAAATTAGGCCAGTGATTGTAACCATGCTGTTAATATCGTGTATTGTTCAGAGCATGTTTCAATTGTGGGAATCAGGTGTACTTTCTTGATTAAAAATGCATTGAGGGACTGTAGTTTTTCTCGGTGTTGCCGAATCTTCTGAGCTGTAAGTGAAACCATTAAGAGCGGGAAGGGTTAATTGCATGGGAAGCCTCGCATTCAAATACTTCTCGTATAGAAAATATATGCCATGCTAGAAAATATTCTATTGTCAATCCAAATAGAACACAAACTAAAATGAGATAATTGGGAAGGTGCCCATAAAGTCAGCCTGAATATATTATCACAAGTATATGTGAGATAATATTTGTTTTAAAAAGATTCTATGGCACTGTAAACTCAGTCTCATTAGAGACTGCATTTAAAAGGCTTATAAAGTTACTCATTAATGTTATCTTGTTGTATCTCCACAGCTTTTTCATTAAAGAAAATTCAGCAGAAAGCATTTTCTCCTGATAGCAGGAACCAATTTGCAATAAATGTTCTGGAAACCACTAGGGAAGCCATTACTGAGGTCTAATAAAAACAGACAAGCGTAACTTGTTCTATATTTTTGTTTCAATCACATACAGATGAGACCCCGCTCTCCACACCAACCGCAAGAGACAGCCTTGACAAACTTTCTCTAACTGGGCATGGGCAGCCACTACCTCCGGGTTTTCCATCTCCTTTTCTATTCCCTGATGGATTGTCCTCCATAGAGACCCTTCTGACTAACATCCAGGTAGGCCTTTCTGTAGATCAGCTTAAAGGGATGGAGAGGAGCCAGTTGCAGATTTGTCTAAATTAATATAACCATTCTAGCTTAATCAGTTCATAAGATTATTTGGATCAACTAATTTACTGAAACTTTCTAGTAATTTAGGTTTTAAAGGAGCCACAGCAAACAAATGAATTTAGAAGCTGTCAGCTACAGTACATAAAAATACAGATTGTATATTAAACCACAGCAGAGAATTCGATGAAAATTACATTGGTGTGTTTAACAACATTTGTCTTAAATGCTCTTTTTATTACAGGCTAATGAAATGCATCTTACTGTTTAACTTTATCTCATTTACTAAGCAGAGAAACATTTCTTTAATAAATAGTTATTTTAAATTGCTGGAGTGCCAAGGTGGAAATGATATTTAAAGCTATTTGAAATGTGTCTCCCATAAAAGCATTCACAAAAAGCACTTCTTTTATAAATAAGCTCATTTCACTTAAAGTACTGTCTTCAAAGAATAGACTTCAAAGGGTATTACCAAATATTCTGCAGATTTCCTATTCGGTAGTCACGATGTCTATTGTGTGTACAGTACAGCCTGATTCAAATATTATTTAAGGTATACACTAGCATGTAGCTTGGAGCCAAGATGTGAGTGTTTCATATTAGAATGAAGAATTTTTTTGTCCACAAATTCAGTGATCATGTGTTCCCCAGATGCAACTTTTGCAACAATAGGGCTGTATGTTGCATGCAGAAGCAACATGATAGTGCAGGAGATAATGCAGCCATACTGTACTCATCCCAGATAAGCCTCGTCTGTGCAGCTCCTAACTTCTAATGTGTTCGTCACAATGTTTTTCCCTGCTCATTCCTGCGAATACATAGAATCCTAGAATATCTCGAGTTGGAAGGGACCCATAAGGATCATTGAGTCCAACTCCCTGCTACTCACAGGACTAAAGTCAATTGTATTCTCTTCAGCAAAGACTATGATGGAGTGGGGCAAAATCCTGCTCGCTTTTCTTTCTTAGGCAATCTCATTAAAGTTTATGGCACTTCAGACTTGTTTTATGAAAAGTATATGATCCATTCATTAGTGAAGTTTTGATGTCTAATAATGAAAAAAAAAATACTGCTATTTAAGAATTAAGTATTTCTATATCTGCCTGATCTGAAAGAGCATATTTGTGATTGCTTTTGGTAGTTCTGAGAGTTAGGATCTTAAATATTTAAATCACAACCCAAGGTAATTCTAGAACAGCTAGCATTCTTCCAACAGATCTACTGCAATCTGTAAAGAACATATTTTTTTCTAAAGGAAGAAATACAGTTAGCAAAGTGTTTAATGTTTTAGCTGTGCATGCATATACAGGAAAGTTCTTAGTAATTTTTTTGACAAATGTGTGAGCTCAATGTCTCTAGACAGCAACCTAATGAACAAAGCATTCAGCATCAACAGGTTAGCTAATCTTGTGATTGAATATGAGAGTGCTGCACTACTTCAGGATAAATGACCAGGATTAATTTTCCAAGAATGCATTCAGTTTTGTTTTACAGAAAATGTGAATGTGAAATTCAGTCATTGCTTTAGGTTTTTTTTTTTTTTAAAAAAACCAACCCTAATCTTATCTGGAGTGAAGAGCTAAAATAAAAGGCAACATCATAAAGAAACCAGAGACTTTTTTTATGCCTTCTCTCATTGTGCTTTTGTACTTACTTCTCCTTACCTTAAGGTTCCACATCATGACAAATCATCTATGAGGGTAAACAGGTGGGACATAAGTCCTTTTGGATTTTTTCAGTATGTCCCCACATTGCATTGCGTGGTTTCCACAGATCTCTGGGAATCTTTTCATAACCCATATACCAACAAGGCATTTCACACCCCACCCTACCCCCCCATAGGTTTAATCTCTATCAGGACAACATTAGAAAACCACTTCATTAAAAAAAAAACATTAAAAATTGTTTTAAAAGCTAGTTTGATTTTCCCACCTGTGTAGAAAAACCTAAGTATTCTCTTTAAAACAGTGTATTCTCTTTAAAACAATAACCTGTGAACAATATTGGCGGTTTCTGTAATCAATACCATTTAAAATGTTTTCCATATTTAGCGATTATTGCAATGAGAGGGGGCTGCCCCAGGCCCACAAATGAGTTAGATACTGTGACACTGACACTTTCAGAACTGAGTTTTAGGTATTTGACTACAAGTTTGAACTCATTAATGGGATTTGTGGAAAGAGGAAATTCTGTACTATGGTCACTGCTTGCAATATCATTTGTGACTTTGTTAGGAACTGCGCATAAGTAGTACCTGAAACCCATGATGTGTTTAGTACTTGGGTCAGAAGGACTCTTGTCACTGGGTAAATTCCTCTTTGCTCTCCTTTGGCCCAGATGAATTTTGTATCCCTTCCAGTACAGAGGTGTGGATTCAAAGGGGAGGTGGAGCGGTAAGATCGCTCTTCATCTTGTTCCAGCCGCTCTAGCATTAAGGATAGAGGTTACCAGCAATGAAGCAGATCTAACTTTCTAGAAAAGATCATCTGGCTTACAGTCCACTCCCTGCCTCCAGTACTAAGGTGTTTTTGAAACAGAAAATAGCAGAAATCTAGCCAAAGGCTAGAACGGAAATGCTGTTCTTTTTTTCCCCAGAGTCATGCATGATGAAAATACAGTTGTGTCCTTTCACAGAAAGGGCACATGTCTGCTTATGCAATGCAAGCGTACGTCTTCGTTAGGTCATGGGTCTGGGGCTCATGCACAACCTGCCACATGTGGTGGTGCAGGTTGCCTATATTTTAGGGATAGGGTGGTCACATGAATACATAGGCAAGCAGCCTCTGGCTACACCAGTGTGCATGGATGTCATGGTAGATACTTGTGCTATGATTCTGTTGCATATATCCCGTTGTGTGATGTGCAGGATCCCAAGGATCTGTGTAATACAGACCTTGGGTACCTCTAGAAGAAGTTGTAGAGTCTGTCCTGGCGTAGGATAGAACAGGATTAGGGTACTGTATGGGAACCAGGAGCTCTAATTTTGACCTTCGTCAGGGTGAGGAGGATCCTAAACCTTGCCATGGGGACAGTGCTTTTGGGTATGTGAGCAGAAATTTCTAAACACTTTTGATATTTGAAAACAAAAGTCTCGCAGGTGCTGAAGAGCTTAGGTGATTGACCTTGGTGCCTGACTCTACGTACTTCCATTTTAGAAGTCTAAGTCATGCTTTAAAATTGGCCACTAAACACAAGTGAGTCTGTGTCTTCCATCCATACTGAAGTTAAATGGATAGCCCCTAATCACTAATACGTAATTTTAGGCAAATGTTAGACAAGCATATTTGGTATCGCTGTCTCCAGGGGCTGCTAGTTAGGTTTATTTCCTTTTGTATATCGTATATATTTTTATTACTTCTCCATAAATACTTACTGAAACAAAAATATAGTGTTTAATTATTTGTACATTTAAAGAGGAGATAATAACAATATACAGTACCCAGAACAACCAATGTTTATTTCTTGCTAGGGACTGCTGAAATGCAAATAATAAACTGTAACAAAACATAATTAAACAAACACACATGTAAAATAAAGAAATGAGATTGGGGACATATTTTCTTATTCAGATGTATATCTGCACATCTAAAAGAAAGAGAAAATAAATTTCCCCAGAGAGCTTAAATTAAGTGATATGTCTGTTCCTTCCCAACGTATATGTGTTGATTTCTTCCAGATTAAATGCTGGAAGTCTGTGTGCAGCTGCAGGGAGCATGAAGGGTGATGGAAGGTGGGTCACAGCTAAATGCTGTGTGGGTCCTAGTGAGAAGGCTAAACATGTTTCCGTACCCTTCACATAAGTTCGCTTTTTTGAGTCATGGCCCATTTATGCCAAAGTGTGTTAAAACCACAGCCTTTCATGATACTGCAATATTCTTGGGTAATAGTAATGCTATTTTAAGCTTTTAGAGTCTGAATCTTTACTGTCCCCAAGCCGAATTTCCATTAATATCTAAGGGATGAATTAGTTGCGCCCTGATAGCTATATTTTTCTGTCAAGACTGTGTTGTATTGACACAGTCTTGTTGCTAAGTATTTTTAAAGAGATATGTAAAATAAGTTGCGAGTATCCCATTGATATTAATAAAAGAAATGCATGATTATAAACTAAATTCCCCTATGAAAACAAAGCAAACTACTGTCTTTATTGCTGTGAGTCTCCTGCACCATCGACAGCTGAATACACGGGAGAAAAATGTTGCAAACACTGGATAAAGTAAAAATCACAGGTTTAGTTCATGTTATTTTATTTGTCTTCTGCTAAAATTCAAGAGAATGATTTTATTTTTCACAGAAAATGTTAATGGAACTATGTCATTTATACTCGTGCAATATACCTTTACCTGTGATGGAGATATTCAATCTGAGATATTACAAAAATGACTTTCTGGAGTCATCTGTAGAGATAGTCAGGCAGTGTTATCTTACCTTGGTTATATTACTAAGTCAGTAGTCAGTTACAAATAGATAGAAAATATTCAAAAATTTACCTGTCAAGCAAAGTTAACTAAAAATGTATATATATTGATTTTTTTTGCAAGCCTTTCACTAGATAGTTTTAATGATGAGAGCATAGAAATTATGTATAATTTCCTGACTAAAAGAGAAGCAATGTTGTTTGAAAGTGTTTTCACTATGAATAGCTAATATTGCAAAAGGAAGCCCCTGAGCAACAAATCTCTGGGAGCAAGGAGGTTTGACTAGAAAAGCTTCACTGTGTGCATGCCTTGTTCTTCTGGTTTTCTTTTTCCTTCACTGTGGGCGGTTGTTTGATCCGGGATGTGATCTTCTAGGCAGACCACTGGACTAGCTAGTAAGGCCATGTTGATGTCACCTGTAACTGCATAGCAAACTAAATGATGTTAGGTGGAACACACTGTAGATGTAGCTAGAAAGAGAAAGAGCTTCTCTGTACCTTCCCCTCCACCTCTTTCAAAATGCGCAACACATCATTATGTGCGTTTTTTAAAACTAATGATGGCTAAAACTGTCTTTAAGGCTGAGTTGAGGTTTCATATATGTTTAATTTCTATAGGATCAGTAAACTGCCTTAAGCACGATGGTGCTTTTGGATACATCAGAGAACAGGAAGAAACATTAACCATATATCAACTTAACTTTTGATTTGGGACATTTCTGAAAAATTTATCAGTGGAAAATATTAAAACAAGTGCATTAAAAGTAAACAAACCAGATCAGAATGATCTATAAATCTCCAGGGAAAAAAATACCCATTTTTTTACATTATGTTGAAATAATAATAAAAAAAAAATAATTATTAACGGTGACACAGAGGGGAAGAATGGCATGCCATGTGTAAAGCCTGGCTCCAGATAGAGCCATACTGTATTAAAAACAAATCTGGAACCTGAGCATGTTCACTACAATTATCATTATCCAGCCTCCATAACATCTGACCTTCCCTAAAGGGAAATATTTTCTTTTTGTTAATGTCCTGTGTTGCACCGCATTTCCCATTGTCATTGGCAGCATATTGATTTAATATCAGGTTAGAGGATTAGCCATAGCAAATACACGCTGGACATACTGTATTTTGTATAATCTTTTACAGCTGATCCACTGGGAGAATTAATAAAATTTCATGCAACTCTGAAATTGCTATTCCTGTTCCAAGGGGCACAAATGATTTTTAGATGCTGTACTTTTTAGTTGTTTTTCTCACCCCCCTCTGCATTGAATACAGGGAGATATTGAATGTTTCCAGTATTTTTGCAGTAGATCTGTCATTGGCAGCAGCAGTACTTTTGCATATGCATCAGTTTGGCTCTAGTGCAGATTTTTTTTCGCATTGGACGCCTACTGATGTGCACTGATTTAACTTCTAAAAATGAAACTTAATTTTGTGTAGCTTATAAGTAGTCCCTAGTGGGTCTTGGCTCCAAAAAGCTAATATTTTTCAGACATAATCAGCAGCAATAGGTAATGTATTACCATTAGCTACGTTAGCAGCAAGTATAAAAAAAGGAAGGGTTGGGGGAGGAAGTGCGGTGTAGAAATTCAATAGAAAATGTAATATGCTTTTAGCAGCTTCGTACTTTGCAGCAACTCTTAATATAAAATTACACACATCAGTGTTACACTCCAGCATTATTCTCCATGTTTATTCATAATGATTGTTTCATATTTAAAGAACACCCAAATATTGTGTTTTGTCAGCCAAGGACAATAATAGTTTAATAGTAATTTATTTTAAACTGCTACTGATAATACAACCAATCAACACATTAAGTGGTGCCAACATTGGCATCTTGCTAAATAATCTCTAGGCTTTGCACTGAGAGTACATCTTTCAAAGATAAGTCAACAAGAGCAATCAGAGCAGAAAATTAGAATTTGGTATCTTAGAATTAAAATACAGCTAAACTAAAGTTTTAATTGGGGTGATCTAAAAGGGCACTTGATGTAATGATCTCTTTCATTTGTTACTAATTGTTTGTTCCTGATGAAGAAGAAAACATGTACATTAATGTAGTTGAATTGAGTAAAGATGGCAGTTGCTTTAGCAGCTCGATTTTATTGTTAAACAAGATGGATTGTAAGAATTTGGGAGGAGGGTGTTTGCAGCTTTAAACTTATGTGACGATACACTTTTCATCAACAAATACTTTTCATGCAATTTCACTTGATCTGATTTATCAATGATTTGGATGAATCGCGTGTTCCAGTAAGTGATGAAGTGGAGGAGATTAAAATATTCTAGAGTTCATGTGTAAGCCAGAAGCGGGTATTGATAAACAAGTCCTACTTGAATTTCTTAGTATTTCAAAGCATCCCGTATAGAAAAGATAGTTTATGATGGTTGTAAGTGTAGGATAGTGTGGGGGGTGGGGGAACAGAATTCAGGAGCATATTAACTTTTTAAAAAATAGATTGGAAAGGCTTTACAAATATTTTAAATTGGTTTTTACTTTGCATATGGCTGTAGAGCTTTATATTTATCTTTATGTGGTTTTCTTTAGTGGTCATTCAGTTTTAATATTCAACACAAAATACCTTTGTGATTTAGCTATTTCAGAATAGCTAAAATAGGTTCTTTTAAAGCAGTTCTATACTTATGTAGTGTATATCATTATAGTGACCATCTGGGCCTTGCAGTTGGAAGGTGTTGAGTTCTTTCAAGCTCCTGTGGACTTTAATAGATTGAAGTGTAATAGAGCTGCAAAGCATTAAGCTCTGAATGAGACAACACTTGAGGCAACAATTTAGTTAAGAATGAGGATGAGGAGTACTGAAAATAACAGGCTCTGAAAGCAGGCTTAAAAGAGGAGTTTGAAGGACGCACATTTCAAAGCAGGCATTGACATTGGGAAGACTAGTGGGATAAATGTGTAGACTAACACTCATGAAAAATACTTTTTCCATTTCTGGAGTATCATCATGCTGGCTTCTTTTTCCATGCCTTTTTGGATATATTTCAAAGAATTTTAGGGGAAAAAAAAGTGCAACCCAGAAGCCAATGTAGGAAGTGTGCCTGAAGGGTGAGGAAGGTTACTTGGCAGTTGGGGGACATGATCTGATGTCAGTAATATGGTTGTTCTGAAACCAGCTTTTGAGTGTCAGCCTTTTATCTGTTAGCTGAAGGCTTCCCTAACAGAGCTATTGGGGAGTACTCTTCAGTCTCTCTTGTTGGCATTGTTTTGCTTCATATCAGTAATTAAATCTCTGTTGGGTCAAATTATCTGTACAGTTAAGTTGTCAGGAGACTTGCCTAGGATACAGAAGAGTTAGGTTCATATCCATGGAGGCTCATATGTGCATATCCATGCTTAATTATCTCACTCTATTATGATAGCTTCAAGAGGAGAGATTCAGGTGTAGACCTAAAAGCCTGATGACCAGGGTTCTGGGAAATGGAAAAGGAAATCTTTGCTCTTTCCATGTTCATTTATTTCAATCCCGTTCCTGCTTCTTTTTTTTCATACTCTGTCTCAGTGTCCTAACTGTCTAGTTATTAGCTATGCCGGCATCTTCCTGTTTCCTTGCAAAAAAAGAAGGAACTGTGAAGTTGAAATTCTCAAGAAAAGTTTAGAACAGGCTGAATCATTATTGCCTGATACAATAACAACAAGAAAGATAGAGTTTATTTCAACCATCTGATGTCAAGAAATTGAGAGATGATTTGGTTTTGCTCTCTGCAGTGAGATAACAATTGAACAAGGTCAGGGAACAGACTTTTTAAAACAAAGATATCTTCCTGCTTTGTGACTGTCCTCTGCTTAGCATCCCAGTAACCCTGTCTTCCTTGGAAACTATGTGGAATATGAAAATATATGAAAATAATAATAATTAACAACAATAAAGAGCAAAATGGCAAGCTTTTGAAAGAGCCTTTGTCCTTTTGGTAATTTCCATTGGCTTGAGTTGTGCTAGAGATTGAATTTGCCATTCTGTGGATGACGTGATTGTGAGACTGCCAATTTTTTTTCAGTGGGACAGCTTTTTGTTTTGGTCACAGCCAAATGCCTGCTGTAGGCTTATCTCTTTTATCTGTTACAAAGAAAAAATCTGTCTCTATAACTTTTTCATATTAGTTATACGCACAGTCAAAGGTGAGTTTGTGTTTTCTAGGAAAACTTGACTCCTGGCTTTTTACAGGTTTTGCCTACCTGTTAAAATTAATTCTAGTAAAAAATTGCTGTTGGTAGTTGGGAGACTTTGACCCAGTAACAGGATTATTTCATTTGTAAAATCTCATGTGACTAATCAAGGAAAAATAATAGTTATTTATTATGTCAGCTGTTCTAACATTCTTCAAACATTATCCAACTTTATCTTTGAACAGGGTCTACTAAAGGTTGCTATAGACAATGCCAGAGCTCAAGAGAAACAGGTCCAACTGGAAAAGACAGAGCTGAAGATGGAGCTCTTCAGGGAACGAGAACTGAGGGAAACTCTTGAAAAACAGTTGGCTGTGGAGCAGAAGAACAGAGGTATCTTAATTAAGCAGACATAAACACCTTGTAATTTATTTCCTTAGGAAACCTGATTTTTTATCAAGCACCTGTGTTTGATCAGAACTTTTCCCCCTTAACTCATGTCACGTCCAGGCTGGCAGCAATGCAGGAAGTTTTACAACCTGCCTGATTTTGCATAGAATCCATATGAGCTTTAGAACAAGGACCTTCCTTTTTCTCAATGTTTTTCTTGAATATTACTTGTTACATCAGTAATACCTAACACAATTATAAATAACATAGGTGCTGTTATGGCAGGTTGTGATCATTTTGAAAAAGGTCAGCTACTTAATACAAAGACAATTTCTATCAAATTTAAGGATCTGCAAGGTTTTAGGATCTCTTGTCCCAGTTCTTATGTGCTAGGGTCCTTTATTGCATATTTAGACAAACCATAAGCAATAAATGTAAAGGCAATAGTAATATATAAGCCCTTTATAATGCATAGTAGATCAAACATATTTGTACAAGGAGCAGCTAAGGTTCTTCTTGATAAGGCAGTAACATTAGCAGCATTTCAAACATTAAAATCAGCCCACTGTAAAGCATATACATGTTAAAGATTTTAAAATAATTTCATTATATTGTTTCAGTACACCATTCTAAAACATTGACAGTAAAGGTAAGGCAGTTTAGAGTGATTTGCATTAACTATTTGCATTATGAGCATGTTCCCATCTTGCTTTATGGCTCCATTTTTCTGTATATGTATGTCTTGCCCTTTAATAGTGTCTAATTACTTTGCAAGGGACAGTTAACCTCTGGGGCTCACTTGCTGTTTAACACAGACCATGACAAGTCAGATAGGTATTTTTGCGGGGCTAGAGTAATAACTCTCTTCTTGCCCCGTTTAATTTCCTGGGAACCAGCTAAATAGGGAATCCTGAGAACACTTGAATTCACGACTTATTCTACCAATAAGTGCAGAACGTAATCCTATTTCATGCCTTGACCCACTGAAGGGTAGGACTGTCACATTATCAACTTCCCTTTTTTAACTTTTGAGAATACGTTTTTTAAGACAATTACTATTAACAATTATCACAGCTGTGCAATGAATCATCCCTTTGTCCACATCTGGCCTATTTCGCTCAGTACAATTGCACTATTTACACTTCTAAAGTAGTTTTGTAAAAGAGCTCGGCTATTCTTCACATCCATCTACCTCTGTGTCTCACAACTGCTCAAATCGATATCCCGTTTTAGAGTAAGGAGATCAGATGCACAACAGAAGAGGTTGGGGGGGGACCCATCTGACATTACTTGAGTTTTGCCATCTAAAAGTTAAGCACCTCATTTGAGCTAGTATAAGTTCCCTTTCTGGTCAAGAAAGAACGAGATTCATGTGTCCTGTTCTGAGACAGGTAGGTGGGGTCAATTACACTGTGAAGACTTCTTTCTCTTCCCTTTAATTCCAGAGGAAACGTAGTTGACTATGCTGAACTAGACACATATGTTTTGAGCAGTTAAAATTAAACAAAATGAATTTCACTCAAAGTTGTATGTCAGGAAAGAGCACGGGATAGTCACTTCCTTTGTTCAGGGTACTGAAATAATTCAAGTGTTATTTTCAGCACGATGCATTACTTGCTTTTGTATATGTATCCCTCTAATGACGATACTGCACTGGTAAAACAGTCAGACAAAAGAGGAATGGATTTGAACACCTAATGGTGGTATGCAGCAAATCAGATATAATGAGGATGACTATCCCTGCTAGTGGAGACTTCTGTACAAAAGAAAGAAAAGTAAAGTATTATTGTTTAACATGAACAGATCCAAGTAAGAGAGAAAAAGTAAGGCCATATTGTAATTATTGGGAAAATTTATTCTTCAATTAAAAGTAGAAAAATGCATAGGAGGCTTTACCTGCCATTAGTTTTCCAAATAGCAAGTGTCATGTCTTAAAGAAAGTTTTGCATGCCTTAATGGAAGCATGAGCAAGATGGGAGAAGTGTACCACATCCCTGTTAAGAGATACCATATGAAAAAACCTGAAATACACTTAAAAGCTACAGCATGGAAACACAAATCGCTGTGTCACACATAGGTCAAAATTAGGTGAATGGGATCTTCAACATTAGGCAGCATCTATCTTTTGCTCATCATGTAAGCACAAGACAAATATCTTTTTCTTTAGTGGCTACATATGAGTATTTTGGCCATTTTTTTGGAACACGAAATTCACTGCTGGTACTATACGATCCACAGTGCTGCTTATTTATTGTACTGTTTCCTTCCTTCTTTGTAAATATTCCAATTAGTGATTCCTAAGGCTGTAGGATGTGTCTCATCAACTACTGAAAGTAGGATAATATCTCTTCTGTGAGCAGCTACACAGTAAGGGCTTGCTAATTCTGGCTCTGACTGCTGTAGTCACATCTACAATGTGTCAGCCATGATGACATTTTAATTCAGAAAGCAACATATGTTTCCTTCTCATTTATTGCAATCACTTTCAAAGTACTTATAATGAAAACATTAAAACCGTGCAATGATTCAAAATGTATTTAGTTTAGCCTTTGTATAGATATTAGATGTTCTTTGATAGTATAAGCTAATTAGCCTGTAAAATAGCTGGTACTATACAAAATGAGAAAGAACCAAAATTCCAAAGTCTCGGAAGTAAATTATGTCGCTATTCTGACTACAGGGTATGTGCTTATATTCATTTTGTGTCTGGACGGTTCTGTATAGCAACACAAAATATCCAAGATCACCCAAAAAGTGGTTATTCTTAGCCTATACATTAAATAGTAAGAACAATTATGGTTCCCTTTAAAAGTTTCATTATTTACATTTTGTGAAAGATACCGCCATCACAGAGTACTGGAAATAGGGAGTATGAAATGGTGGAAGTACATTTTTACCTTTTCCAGCATTCATTCCTAGACATGTACCAGAGGTTACTTTGGAGTGAGAGACAGGGCTAGATAGATCGTGGCAGTCAAGCCTAGTATCACGTAGTATCTGGGTTTGGTAAGGATAATTATTTTAGTGTGTGTAAAGAATTCTTTAGTTAGTAGTTTAGTAGATATTTTTTTAGTCAGTGTAAAAATAACAGACTCTCCAGGAAAGGGTTATCCAGGAAGATCTTATGGAAAATAAACCTCTTATGTGCACCTGCCTGGAAACCCTAAATGTGCTGTGTAAGAAGGGTGGGGGAGATAACGATATGTTCTGTGACTTTCCGTGATTTCTTTAGAGGCTCACATTGGCTTTTATCAAGTGGAAAAATTCGTTCACGTTATCCTTTTCCATCGGGAACATAATTTGTGATATGTTCCTTCAGTTAGGGATCATACAAGTCTTATGTTTGTGGTTGTAAGTCCCTGGTAACATAGAAAATTGCGATGAAGTTTCTTTAAAGTAGCCCTTGTATGATCCACTTACACCGTGATATTACAATCCTTTTCCTTTGGAACTGAACTTGAACTGAAGAGAGACGAAGAAAACTTTTTTTCTAAAGTAGGGTCTTCTAATGCTTAATTTTAAAATACTCCTTTTCTTAATATTTCCCTCACATTTGACAAAGCAAAGTAATATTTACTTGGCCGGGGGATCCAGCACCGTAAAGGATTTGCTGTGAGTTCTTCAAGGCTAGTTGGCTGATGGGACAGGAGCTGACAGAGACCAAGAAAGATAAAAGGGAAAGACAAAGAGAAATGTGGATAAGAACTAGATATGGGGAAGAGACCAGGCACCAAGGGGTCGGCTGTCTTGCAGGAAGCAGCAGTTGGAGGGGATTTAGAAAACTCAGGACTTTTTCCTAAGGAATGAGGACCACAGCAGGGTGGGGGGCTGAGCTCCTCCTGCAGCCCGGGCACCCAAGCAGCCAGATCTCCCTCTTGTGGGAGAGAAGCTGCAGGCAGGCAAGAACTTCATCACGGTGTGCATACTAACTGTGTGCTATGGGCAATAACAAAGTGGTAGACTTAATCCCCCAAAACACACCTCACCTCCAGAGACAGAGGCATATCTATGTCAGGTGATGCAAAAAGTACATTTTGTTGCCAGCTCCAAGCTTTTCCAATTTGGACGTTTACAGATTCTTATCTGTTTATGAAAAAAAAACAAACTATAGCTGAATATCACCCACACTTTTCAATGCCATGGTATAGAACAGTAGCTCTTAGAATATCCCATTGTGTTTCCAGTAAATTTCAAGTTATTTAAATTGGTATTGCATAATTAATCAATTTATATGAACTGTTGCAGTTGTACAGTTTCTTGGGACTCTCAATAGGTAATCATGCAGCCAAGTTTCAGATCCAAATTTGAGTACGCTGATATTCTTTTTTCTTAGCAATAATTCAGAAGAGGCTAAAGAAGGAAAAGAAGGCAAAAAGGAAATTGCAGGAAGCACTTGAATTTGAGACTAAACGACGGGAGCAAGCAGAACAGACACTGAAACAGGCAGCTTCAACAGATAGTCTCAGGGTCCTAAATGGTAAGAAACCAATTTTTGCCTCTGTGCCATTAACTTTCAATTTAAGTGCCAAAAGAAGATTGTTATGTTGGAAATTTATAACATGATGGGAGGGAAAAAAAAGAAGATCTCTTTTCTTTCCTTCATTCAAGTGATTCCTCTCTCTTTATTGTTTTGTTACTTTATATAGTATGTGCAAATAAACTCACTGGAGAGAATGTCCAAACTAGGACAATTTTATATTATTAGCTTGAGAAGTCAATCTTTTTTTCTTCTTCTTTTTCTGCCCCCCTTTATGCTTGAAAAATCTATTGCTCATTAATCTTCCTAGTCTAACAAAAAATTGTCCTGGCCTCCAGTCATTGTTCAACATTAAAAAAACTGACAAAGGTTGATTGTATTGTAATTCAGCATTGGAGTAACAGGTTGTAAAAAGGGCTATAAGAATCAAATGAAATATGTGTCAGTCTTACCTTTCTATGTTTCTAGACTCTCTGACCCCAGAGATAGAAGCTGACCGCAGCGGGGGCAGAACAGATGCTGAAAGGACAATACAAGGTAGGAATTTGCAAAAGGCTATAAATCTAGATCTTGCTATATGAGTTTTTCCTCAGCTTTAGACTGCTATTCAAGCATGTAGCCTACCATCTGGGCCACATCAAAACAAGTTCAAACAAGGTCAAGTTCATCTTGCTTGTTTATAAGAGAGAATACATTCTGTGCTGATAGATTTTCTTTAAATTAATAGGTCATTTCTGTTTATACATAGCAATTAAAGAAGAATAATTAATTTGAAGCAATATTGGGTTGAATCTCAGACATGCCGAATGCAGTTTTTGTGAATATGTATAGTTAGATTTGAGATAACAATGTTTTTAAAGGTATATTTGAAACATTTTGAGCCTTTTAACTATACAAATGGCTAAACCTAATGGGTAACATTCAAAGCACAATGAGAATTTCATAGCTAATATTTAGTGGCAGTTACTGAAAGGTATGTTTCAATAAGCTACTCTGAGCATTAACGATAAATAATCTGTTTATTCCCTTCTTGGATTTTTCATTTACCGTATCCCATTATTTACATTGTAATAAAACAAATCTGCTGAGTAAATTTATACATGAAATACTAAAAAGAGTGATATTACTTCCCCTGTAAATCTAAATGTGTATATGTGTATATTGCAAACACAAAGGTATTAGTAAAGAGCAAGTTTTAAAGACAGCATTTATGTTATAATGTCTTCTCTAGTCAACAGGCTAAATCTACCTATGTGAATACTAAACAGTAAAAATAGCATTTGTTTTCAGTTGTAAATGAAGGTGCATTTTTCAGAGGCAAGCCTAAAATGATTAGCTCCAGTAATCACTCTCAATTGCCTTTATTTTGCATTTTGAAGTCAATCATCTTAACAGTATCATTTGACATCTTCTGTGTGTTATTTAATCACTTTTTCTAACCCCTGAAAAGTTGTTACGGGTGTGCCACAAGGAGGCTGTAACAACAGAAAAAAAGTCAACAAGCTTTTAATGTACTGAACATATAAACAAATACAAAAGTTCTTATGTAGGACGAACACATGCATATAAACAAAACCATTTAGATTTAAAGTAAGTTATGTCTGCAAAGTCAATAACTCAGAAGTTGGAGTATGCCAGATTAAACGTTGCCTGGGAAGTGGGTACAAGTTGTGAGGTTTGTTATTCTAGAATCCTACTTTCCCTCCCATAAAACATATGCCTTATTCAAAGCACCTCTTGACGTAATACATTTAGTAATGATCCAGTCATTATGTCATTTTGTTATAATCCAGTCATTTTGTTATTTTGTTTGGTGCCAAGACAGACTTGTAATTTCTCAGGAGGCCATTCTGTTAGGCTAGTCACTGCAGTATCTGA